GAGAGAGCCAAAGCATAAGAGACTGTTGAGAACTGAGAGCAAACTAAGGGTTGATGGGGGGTGGGAGGGAGGAGAGGGTGGGTGATGGGTATTGAGGAGGGCACCTTTTGGGATGAGCACTGGGTGTTGTATGGAAACCAATTTGACAATAAATTTCATATATAAAAAAAAACAAAAAAAAACAAAAAAAAGAATGATGTGCTGGGTAAAAAGTACCCAAGAACTCCCTGTACTATTTTTCTAACTTTTTTTGAGTTGCAAGCTTTCAAGATAAAAAAAAAAAAAAAAAGTTATAATAAAAGAGGATGAAGCTGTATTCTCTGGTATTTTAGGTGTTTTTTTTTGTTTTTTTTTTTAATTTAAAAGGATTAGGTTATCTTGGCTGCAATATGCAGGGATCTGAAGTCTTCATTCATTTATCTCAAGATTTCATTCTATTATCCATTTATCTATGTCCTAGGCCCTGCTAAAAGTGAGGAATAAAAGCTCCCTCAGAGAGCTTACATAAAGTAGGGGAGGGTACAGACAACTAGAAAGCAGCTACAGGGGTGCCTGGGTGGCTCAGTTGGTTAAGCGCCTGACTTTGGCTCAGGTCATGATCTCATGGTTCCTGTGTTTGAACCCCATGTGGAGCTCTAAGCTGACAGCTCAGAGTTGAGAGTTGCTTCCGATTCACTGTCTCCCTCGCTCTCTGCCCTTCCCCCATTCACACTCTGTCTCTCTCTCAAAAATAAATAAACATTAAAAAAATTTTCTTTAAGCAACTATAATATAGTCTAACAAAGTCTTTGTTCAAGAAAATACAGAATAAAATGTGAAATGATATTTAAGCTGATACCTAAAGGATGAATAGGAGGGGTGGTGCACAGGAACCAGAGCCTGCAAAGCTCTGGAGGTGGTAGAGAATGCACAGCACTTTCAGGGAATGAGATTGTTTGGTATATGAATAAACACAGAGTATAAAACAGTAACTGACCAGAGATAGCCAGAGTGGTCTGTTTCTAGTAAACCACAGGATACCCTGAAAACTCCTTACCTTTGTAAAACATATAAAGTTGTGGATAAAATATTTTAAATATTTTAAATGCGTTCCTGAGTTGGCAAGAAAGTAAGAGATATCCTCAGAGGCTAAACATGTAGCAGAAATGTTGGGCATCTAGAGATACAAACCTGGTCACTTAGATTATAATTTTAATGGTCACCTGAGTACTGGTGACAATGTCCTGGGCCTGTGTAGCATGGGAAGTTGGACTGGAGACCTCAGAAAGACCATAACCCCAAAGGACTAGCCCTTGTGTGAAAGGATGGACTAAAAGAAACCTGGGGACACAGCCGAAAAATCTGTTTTGACCCTAACTCTAGAAGAAATAGTAAATGTTACCCCTGAGATTTTGTAACCATGACCCATGTAGTTGCATAACATCCAACCGATAATTTATTTTAACTAATCCAAAATCCTCTCTGGAAGAATATGAGCCTTAAGGAATAACCTGATAAGAAGTTTCACAACCAAGAACTCACAATAAAACAAAAATCAAGAAAAGGAAATAATCTATAATAAGCAAGACATAGAAGAAATCCCAAATAGGAAAAATAGACCCACATAGACTCTGGACTTTGGAATTATCCAACATAAACTGCAAAATAAATGTCTCAAATATGATTAAAAAACAAAAGATCATATTGAAAGCCTGAATTAGAAACAAGAAACCATAACAGTTAGAGAAAACTTAGAAAAATAACCAACAGACTGCCACAAGTAAAAAAAAAAATACCATCAATGAAATTAAAATTTCAATAGAAAGGTTAAAAAGAGAAGTAGATGTGTCTGAAGAGAGAACTAGTGAGTCAAAAGAAAAAGAAATCACACAAACTGCAGAGACAAAAAATATGAAGGCAGGATCCCAAGATATGGAAGATTAGTGATTAAGACCAACATACATGCAACTGGAATTCTAGGTTAGAGAATGGAGAATCAAAACAATATTGTAAGAGATAAGGCCAAAGAACAAGAGATAGGATGAATCCTGAGGCCCCTTTGAAGCCATTTTAGAGAATTTAAACTTTAGTGTAGGAAATGGGGAGACTGAAATATTTTATTGAGAGGAACACAATCTAATTTCCATTTATAAAGGTCATTTTGGCTGTATTTGGGGAGATGGATTAGAGTTGAGGGAGGTAGTTCAACTCCAGGAAAGGAGACCCATCAAAGACCTACTTCAGCCACCTAGGAATAGATGGATTTTTTTTAGAGATATTTAGGAAGTAGAATTGGCATAATTTGGTAACCATTTAGGAGTGAGGCTTGAGGGATTTCTGTCCCAACTTTCCCTTCTCTATTGAGTCTTGCCCATTGTGTTTAAGCACAGTTATTTACTTCCTCTTCAAAGGTCTTTTTACATGTCTCTTTTTGTGTTATCTCATTGTATTGAAATTGTTCTGTCTGCTTCCTCCACCAGAGCACAAGCTCCTTAAGGTGAGAGAGAATTTATTCCATTAATTTTTGAGGGCTTATTTTTTACCTTTTATTCACTAACAGCACAGAATCTGAGGATGGTTGAATGTGTCTTGCCTTGCCCATGTCTATGTGTTAACACTGGTACCTTCACACGACAAGGGATGCACTCAGAGAGTAGGCAAGGTTCAGATCACAAAGGAATGCCACACATAGGAGCTGGGGCTTTATCCCATGGTCAATGAACCCTAACAGTGGAGCAGAGCCATGGTTAGTTCCGTGTTTTTTTGAAATAACCTGAGCAACAATTTGAATGAAGGAGAGACTGGGTAGGAGGTAATTACAGTCGCAAGGAGAGAAGATGAGAGACTGAATCAAAACAGTACAGTGGGAATGAAGACGACAGGACAAAGCCACAAACTCTTTAGGAGGTTAAATGTCAGGGCTTGATTTACTAGATGGATAATAAAAATAAAGGAGATGAATGAATTGGGATGAAACTAATTCCTACTTGGCATCTGGGGTTTCTCTACACCAGATGGGAAATTCAGGAAAGGGAGCAACTTTAGGTTGCTACAGTCTGCAGGTGTAGAATTGCCGTGATTCCTGAAAATCACTACAAAATTTTCTTCACCACCACCCACTTGCACAGGATTGCTATCTCCATAGAATACCAAGGAGGCTGGGTCAAGGAATGTAAATGACCCCCAACTTCACACCTTCTGCCTTACAAACACTTTGCCATAAACAGAAGGTTTCCATTTCTGTGTCTGGCTCTTCAGATTACCAAATAGTTCCCTGGCCCTTCCTTCAGCATGCTAGAGCCCTTAAACTCCGTGCATAGCCACCAGATGCACCAAGATACCCAACACTTACTTCTACTTCCTGGCAGAAGGTGGCATTGGGGCCATACTGCAGCTGGCATTGATGATGAACATCATAGATTACTCCAGGAGCAATGACCTTGGACTTCAAGCCTTTCTTCTGGGGCATGTCATCGAGACAGAACCCCCAGCCTCGACTAAAATGAAAACAAGAAAACAGTAGTAAATCATCAGAGGGATTTCCACGATCACTTATAACATAAATCCTAGTTGTGCCGGCCAGTTTCCAGGGACTTAACACACACTCAGATCATAAAGAGCCACCGTGAGCAAAAGCAAGCAAGGGGATAGGATGTTCACCTGGCTGTGGCTGGAAGGCAGGACCCATCCACATTTCAGGGTCAGAAAGCAGAAGTGAAATCCACCCCTTCTGATGCCACCTGATACTATGACCTGTGAGCGGCACTGAGACTTTTCCAGGGCCCAGGCAAAAAACTCAGACTGACTTCCAGTTTAAGGAGACCCAAGTGCAGCTGTCCTGAAAGGCACTGTCACTTACTCCAGGAAGCGGGTGATATACTCCTTGCTGCACTTGGACCACGTCAGTGGGGTGGGATTGTACTGGAGCTGGCGGGACATGATGTATGGGTGCCTGCCCACGGGCTCACAGTCATTTTCCTTCCCGTCATGCTGGATGCCAAAGCTGCAGGAGGGCACAAAGCACAAGAACATTAAGGAGGCTGGCATGAAATAGAAAACCACAGTTTCTTCAAGGTGAAAATAACCCACCGAGAGCCACTTTTGTACAGACTGCATGTGTTTACCAAGTGGGACTGTGAAGGTGGAGAGGGATATTTTGAGCACGTCTTGGCCTCAAATATGCAACCATGGGAACCATGCAGCCAATTCCAAAACTTCTCTTTGGCTAGAAGCTCCTAGTTTGGCTTTCTAGGAGTCTGGAGTCAGGAGGGTAAACCCTGCCTTAAGCAATCTTCTTCCTCCTGCTTTAGTAACCACAGCTCAAAACCCCCAAACCTTCATTCTCCCTTTTCATCATCATTTGAGGAAGAGCATGAAAGGGTAAGCCTATGGGAGACTTTGTCAAAGACCACAAGCTGTGAGTGACTGGATTTCTTTCGAGTCTTGTCATGGGAGTTCTCCAGTATCTGAGACATCAGGGAGACTTCACAGCCCAGTGATTAGAGCAGGGTTTTTGAAGACATATGATCTGGACTCGCATTCCAGTTCTGTCACTTCGTGATCTGGGAGTTACTGAAACGGGTTCAGCTTCAGTTTCCTCTTCTGGAAAGTGCAGAGGTCTTCACTGTGCTCGGGTCAGATCTGAATGGATGAGTCTGAAAACCACTTGGCAAGTGCCTGGCATATAATAAGGGCTCTGTGAATGACGGGAATCCCTTATTGTTGCTTTTATCCTTGTCTAGCTTATTTCCCTTTTCTAGATGAGGAAGCTCAGAGTTTGAGACTTTTCGAAAGTCCCACAGCTAGTTAGTGGCAAGAGTAGGTCTTCTGCAGCTCACCCTGCTGTTGCAGTGTTCTTACCCAGGCCTCACTCAGCCTGCTCCCTGGTCCTCCCACTGCCAGGGCTGACCAGGTAAAGCAGCCCTGAATGACCCAGAAGAGCTTGTCCGGCATGGCAGGGGTGCCTGGGATGGAAGCAGATTCAGAAGTCTGTTTATGAGTTGAGTCCTCAGGATCAGCCCAGGATGCCATCAGAGGTCCCCACAAGAACTCTCTCCACTGGGATCTGCTTACAACAGGCATACTTGCAACCCAGAGATGTTGGCTCAACTCTCCAAATCTGAACAGGGGAAAGTAGAACCTTTTACTCGGCAAGTGAAATTCAGCCCATCTGACAGGGAAGCTCATATGCAACTTTACTAAAATCTCCTGATCAACATTAGTGACTCTTACAGAAAATAGTCTCTGGGGGCTTTAGAGATTTCTTGTATTTTGCTTAACGCATTATGATGTTATCAACTTACTTACAGACTCCGATCACATTCCACATGAATACAAAATTCACAAAGGACTCAGAGAATTAATCTGCAAAACTCTTATCACCCAGCCACAAAGAATGCGATTCAATGAAAGCTTTCTTCCCAAGCAGGTCTTCCCTATGCTGTTGCAAATCCATTCTTATCTAGCTCATGAAGTACTCCACAAGTTCACCTGCGGAATAATTAGTAAGAACCCTAAATTGCAAGCATGGTTCAAAAATATGCATGAATCATGGTTTTTCCAGCACTGGATATTCTAATACAAGAAGACATATTGCTGGATCTTATACACAGGGGCGATTCACACCTACACTCAAAATATATCAGTTCCCCCGAAGCTCATTTTGTTCCATCTAAAGTTTCTAATTTTAGGATTTCCCCCCTCCAGCTTCATCACCCCTCTCTTCCCCCATCTTATGAGCTAAAAGCAGTGCTACTGAAAATGTCCCTCTGGACTGTGTCTACTAGGTCTAAATGGGTGGAATGCTCCTGCCACATGGGAACAGTGGGTCAATGAGAAGTGAAGGCCAAGGAAAGCACATGGGGTCATAGGGATGGAAGGTTTGCATCCAGGAAGTTACTTTCTAGCAGATGGGATGGACACTGAAGAGCAATTTGGAGTACAGAGCCGTCTACAGGCTCAAACAACTTCCTGGGCTGTTGGATTGGCCTGCTTTACCTCATGCTTCAGTTTCAACCCCTGTTACATGAGTTTGCCAAATTACAGATGTGAAATAGCAATTAATTAATTACCTGGGTTTCGGGGTATCCTTTGATGGAAAAGATCCATTCCTTGCCTTTTATTATTCATTTTTTAAGTATAGTTAACACAATGTGACATTAGTTTCAAGTATACAACGTAGTCATTTGACAGGTTTATACTTACGCTGTATTCACAAGTGTAGCTATACCATCAGCTGTCCTGATACAATGCTATTACAATATCATTGATTCTATTACTTATGTGCTGCCTTTCATTCCTGTGATTTATTATTCATTTTATGGTGGAGAAGCAATAGCAGAGAACAAAAACCTCAAAAATATGATTGTGAGCTTTTAAAACCCATTTAGGGAATACCAATTTCACATATTTAACATGCAAAGGTCTGTAATGAAATATATCATGATCTGGAAGTGGGGGAGATATACTGGGTGAATGTTGCCTTTTAAGTGTTCATCTATATTGTTATATTTTCATTACTTAAAAGTGAAGGATGCTAGGTCTCAAATAAGTTTTTAAATTTCCTCTGGGGATTGTACCTTCATTGTTGGGCACTTACATAAGGAGTCTGATAAAGGTGGTGAGAGACTTCAGGTATAAATGGCTGATATAATCCAGGGTCTTCAGGAATGGATTTTCAAAAAGTTTTCTCTCAAAATAAAAGTGAAATTATTCACATAAGGCCATAGCACAAGTTAGTTAACTTTACTTTCTATTTTGCATCACACATAGTAATGAAACAAACATGTTTCCAAGAAACAATGGGGTATCTTTGTTATTAATCTTTGAGTGTCTTTTTGGGATACTGGTTTATCAGTTTTGTTTTGTTCATTCTTGGATTGCTGCAGCCATTTCATTAATCTGCCCAGTGTTTCTCAGTTTGGTCCACAATTAAGACTATATAGCTAAAGGAAGAACTAAATACCCCAGAAGTATCTTTTACTATGAGCAAAAGTTTCTTAGGAAGCCCTTAAAGTCTTCTTTCATTTGGTTTTGTTTTGCTCAAGTATTTTTCTATCCCTCAAACTCAAGCTTATGTGTTCCTTCAACTTTCTCTTTTTTATCAGTGACTCTAAACTTTTTTGGGGGGGGGCATTTAAAAGATGCTGTTTTAATACAAATCAAAAGCACAATGAGATATCACTTAACTCTGGTCAGAATGTCTAGAATCAAAAAGATAAGATTCTCACCACTGGTAAGAATGTAGAGAAAAAGGAACCCTTATGCACTGTTGGTGGGAATGTAAATTGGTACAGCCACTGTGGAAAACAGTATGGAAGTTCATCAAACAATTAAAAAGAGAAATACCATGTGATCCAGTAATTCCACTACTAGGTATTTATCCAAAGAAATTGAAAACTCTAATTCAAAAAGATACATACTTCTATGTTCACTACAGCATTATTTACAATAGCCAGGATATGGAAGCAACCTAAGTGTCCATCGATAGATGAAGGGATGAAAAAGATGTGGTGTGTGTGTATATGTATATGTACACACAATGGAATATTAGTCATTAAGGGATGAAATCTTGCCATTTGCAACAACATGGATGGACCTCGAGGGTATTATGCTAAGTGAAATAAGTCAGACTGAAAAAGAAAAATACCATATGATCTCATTCATATGTGGAATCTAAAACACAAATGAATAAACAAACAAACAAAAAGCAGAATCAGACGTGTAAATACAGAGAACAAACTGGTGGTTGCCAGAGGGCAGGAGTATGGAGGGTGAGCGATACAGGTAAAAATGGGTGAAGGGGAGTGGCGCATACAGGCTTCCAGTTATGGAATTAATTAAGTCATGGGAATAAAAGGCACAACACAGGGAATACAGTCAATGATACCGTAACAGGGTTGTATGTTGACAGATCTACTACACTTGTGGTGAGCATAGCATAACCTATAGAGCAGCTGAATCACTATGTTGTATACCTGAAACTAATGTAACACTGTGTGTCAACTATACCCAAATAAAAAAGATTAAATAAAAAAAAGTCTTTATTTAGGTTATCTGTATATGTCCTGATGCCTTTCTTTTTTTTAAATTAAACTTTTTATTTTGAGATTATTGCAGGTTCAGTTGCAGTTTTAAGAAATAAACAAAGCGGTCCCCTGTATCCATCACTCACCTTCCCCCCAATGGTAATACATTGCAAAACTATAATCCAGTAGCACAGTTGGGGTATTGATGCTTATACTGTCCAGACACAGAATATTATCATCACCACATGGATCCCTCATGTTGCAGTTATAGCCACACCCACTTCCTTCCCTCTCCCATTCCATCCTTAAACCCTGGCAGCCATATATACATTCTCCATTTCTACAATTTTGACATTTCAATCACATACAGCATGTAACCTTTTGGGACTGGCTTTTTTTTCACAGAGCATAACTGTTTGAAGATTCATCAGGTCACTGTATGTATCAATGAAACAGTGAAAAAAAACATGTTTCCAAGAAACAATGGGGTATCTTTCATTTTATTGCTAACTAGTGTTCCATAATGTGTGTCCATCCCAGTTTAGGTAACCATTCACCCTGTTGGGTTGACACCACCCCTGGATTGTTTCTAGTTTGGGGCTATTAAGATTAAGCTTCTATAAACATTCATGTAAAGGTTTTTGTGTGAACATAAATCTTCCTTTCTCCAGGACAAATCTCAGGAGTACGACTGCTAGATCATACGGTAGTTGTAGGTTTACAGCTTAAAAAACCAACAAACTATTCTCTACAGTGCCTGGACCATTTTACTTTCTCACCAGCAATGTCTGAATGATCTGATCCCTCTGCAACCTTGCCAGCATTTGGGGTCACCACTATTTTTTTAGTCATTCTGATTGTTGTGTGACATCTCATTGCGATTTCAATTTGCATTTCCCTGGTAGTTAATGATGTTGAATACAGTTTCAAGTGCTTATCTGCCATTTGTATGTCTTTTCTGGTGGAATTTCTCCTTTTTGCCCATTTTTTAATTGTACTGTTTGGGTTTTTTTACTATTGAGGTTTTTGTTTTGTTTACATTTATTTATTGATTTTGAGAAACAGCAAGAGTATGAGCAGGGGAGGGGCAGAGAGAGAGGGAGAGAGAATCCCAAGCAGGGGATTCAAACTGAGGAACTATGGGATCATGACCTGAACTGAAATCAAGAGTTGGATCCTCAACCGACTGAGGCACCCAGGCGCCCTAGTATTTGAGTTTTGACAGTTGCTTATATATTTTAGATGCTTAGTTCTACTGGATATATGGAGTATTCATTTCCTAGGTAGGTGATAAAAATTATTGTGAGCTTAGTGGCTTAAAATAACATAAACTTATTCTCTCACAGTCCTGGAGGACGGAAGTCTGAAATCAAAGTGTCAGCAGCACTCTGAACCCTTCAAAGTCTCCAGGGGAGAATTTTTCCTTGCCCCTTCCAGCTTCTGGTGGCTGCAGGCTTCCTGACTTGTGGCAGTATGACTCTAACTTCTGCCTCCATCTTGACATGGTCTTCTCTTTGATCTGTGTCCAAATCTCCCTCTCTAGTCATTGGGTTTAGGGCCCAACCTAAATCTAGGGTGATTTAGTTTCAAAATTATTAACTAATAACATCTGCAAAGATCCTATTTCCAAAACAGGTTACATTCTGAAGTTCATAGAAGCCTTGAATTTGTGAAGGGGAACACTATTTAAGCCACTACATAGGGCTTGCAAACATTTTCTCTTGGGCTGTGGCTTGTATTTTCATCCTCTTAAAAGAGTCAAAAGTTTTAATTTTGATGAGTCCAAGTTTTAAATGTTTCCTTTTATTGATTGTGCATTTGATGCCAAGTTTAGAAACTCTTTGCCTAGCCCTAGATACTTAAAATTTCCTATTTATGTCCTAAAAGTTTTTTAGTTTTACATTTTACATTTAAGTTTGTGTTCTACTTCAAGATCATTTTTGCATATGGTGTGAGACTTAAGTAGAGACTCTTTTTATATATTAAAAACCAACACAGGGCTTGATCTTACAACCCTGGGATCATGACCTGAGCTGAAACCAAGAGTCAGACACTCAACTGACTGAGCCACCCAGGCACCCCACACACAATCTTGATTACTGCAGCTGTATAATAAATTTTGAAATCTTGTAGCCTGATTCTTCTCATTTTATTATTCTTTTTCAAATTGTTTCGAAAACTTATTCTAGTTCCTCTGCCTTTCCATATACATTTTAGATTAATTTTTTTATATCTCAAAAAGAATCGTGATGAGGGGTGCCTGGGTGGCTCAGTCGGTTAAGCGCCGACTTCAGCTCAGGTCATGAGCTCGCGGTCCATGAGTTCGAGCCCCGCGTCGGGCTCTGTGCTGACAGCTCAGAGCCTGGAGCCTGTTTCAGATTCTGTGTCTCCCTCTCTCTGACCCTCCCCCATTCATGCTCTGTCTCTCTGTGTCTCAAAAATGAATAAACGTTAAAAAAAATTAAAAAAAAAAAAGAATCGTGATGAAATTCTCATAGAAATATCATTAAACCTATATATTTATTTCAGAAGAATTTCATCTTTACTATGTTGAGTCTTCCAATTCATGACCATAATAGGTTTCTCCATCTATTAGGAGATCTCTATTTCTTTCTGCAGTGTTGTGTAGTTTTCAGCATATGAGTCCTGTACATGTTTTGTAAGATTTAAATGTTTATAATAATTTTATACAAATATTTCATACTTCTGAGTGATTGTGAAAGGTACCGCATTTTTAATTTCAGTGTTCACTCGTTCATTGTCTGTATATAAAAATGTGAGTGATTCTGTATGTTTATGTGGTATCCTGTGAGCTTATTCTAGTTTGTGTGGTTGCATAGATTCTTTGGGGTTTTGTACATATACAATTATATTATCTGCAAATAGAGCTAGTTTTATGTCTTCCTAATCTGTATTTTTTTTTCTTGTCTTAGTGCACTGGCTAAAACCATACTCCTTTTTCTTTCTGTTCCTCAGACTTCGGCATTTACTTTGTCCTGTCTTCGAGTTCACTGGTTCTTATTTTGTCTGCTTATATCTGCCAATGAATCCCTCCAGTTAATTTTTTTATTAGAGTGATTGTACTTTTTAGCTCCAAAATTTCATCTTGGTTTCTTATTAGATCTTCTATATCTTTATTGATATTGTTATTTTGTTCACGTATCATTTCCTTTATCTTCTCCATATCTTCTTTAGTTCTTTGAGCATCTTTAAGGCAGTTGTTTCAAAATCTTTGTCTAACACATCTGCCCTCAGGAACAGTTTCTGTTGATTTATTTTTTTTCCTTTGAGATCATACTTTCCTGGTTCTTTGTATGTTTTATGATTTTTTTGCGTAGAAAAATGGACATTTGAATCTGTTAATGTGGTAACTCTGGAAATCAGATTCTTCCTCTTCTGTAGGGTTTTCTGTTTTTATTGTTGTTGTTGTTGTTGTTATTACTATTATCATTATTGTAGGCTGTGTCTGTGCCAAGGATCAACCTGAGGTAAAAATTTAAGGTCTTCGCAGGTCTTTTCAGAGTCTCTATCTGGGCACGTGTGATCACTTTCTAATTTTCCCCATGTATGTAATTATTTTTGAAAGTCCTATTCTTTATTGTCTAGCTCTCAAAAGGGAAAAAGGAGAAATAAAAAGAGGGAGAGAAAATGGTGCTGGCCTCTTAAATCCTCTGGCAGTCACTCCAGTTTAAGGGGAGCTTGCAACAATGTGGAGAGGTGCAACAACAATGGCTGCCCCAACTTTGTCTTCACCTCTGTGATCAGAAGCAGCCATCAGCAACCAGAGCACAACTTGTGCCTCCTGTTAACTGACGTTTGCTTAATGGTGTTCTCCATCGTATAGCAGTT